GGGCATGGGTAAACTGAGCAAAGACGGAGGGAAGGAAACGGGAGAACAGATCAGAGGTGGGCGGGCAGGGTCCGGAGGAGGAGGAGGAGGAAGAGGAGGAGACAACGGAGAGGAGCCGTCAAGGACAGCAGCAGGAGGAGGGGGAGTAGAAAGAGGGGAGCGCACCCCAGCAAGAGCAGCAACCGAAAGGGAAGCAGGGGCCAAAGAAACCTCCATAGCAGGAACAGGGGGCGCAAGCACTGAAACGGGAGGGGAAGGAGCAACAGAGCCAGAAGGAGGAGCTGAGGAAGAAAGCGAAGCCTTCTTACCCGCCGGGGAAGAGGAAGGAGAGGAGCCAGGCTTACGCTTCTGACTTAAAGAGACCGGTGTCCCAGCAACTACGTACCGGGCAACGGATTCCAGTGTCTCAACAGGAGAAGCCGAACGAGAGCACACACGACGGCCGTTAGGAGAGCGATGGACATCCGCCCGCACCGACAGGCGGTGGGGAGAGCCGATAGATGGAGGAAGAGGATGGGAAGGAGGATCGGAGGGGGACGAGGAAGAAGACACAGAAGACACGACAGACCGGGTAGAAGGAAGGGGAACCCCAGACAGAGGACCAGGAGGATGATCCTTCGGGAGAGAACCCAAAGGAACAGAGGAGGGGGCAGTGGGCGCATCAGGGTCCAAGGCCCGGAAACGGTTGTGAGTCTGAGGAAGGCGGGAAGGACGAGGAGAGGAAGAGCGCAACACGCGAGCATAAGAGATATTAGCATAAGGCGGGAGCCGGCGAACCTGGCGCCTCGCCTCAGGAAAAGATAAACGCTCCCGGTGCTTCAGGTTGAGGACGGCTGCCTCAAGCTTGTAATGGACACACGCACGGGAGAAGGTAGAATGGGCCTCACCGCAGTTGAGGCAACGAGCCTGGGGAGAAGTGCACTCCGACTTAGAGTGACCTTCGCCACCACACAAAGGACAGAGAGAGACAGTCCCGGAGCAGCAGAGGGCACCATGCCCAAACCTCCAGCACTTGTTGCAGAGCCGAGGAGAAGGAATGTACTCCTGGACAGAGCACCTGGCACCAGCATGAATGACAGAGGGTGGAAGGGTCCTACCATCAAAGGTAATCTTCACAACCCGGAGGGGTTGACGGCGACTACCACGAGGGGGACGAGTAAACGTGTCCACTTGGAGAATAGAATGGCCCTGGGGAGCGAGGGTATGTCGAATATCGTCGTGACAGTCGCGCAGGTCCCGAACACCGGTTGCAACATGGGGCGGGAGCAAAATAGTGCCAACACTGGCATTCAACTGAGCGTTCTTCGAGACCCGAACGGGGGTCTCGCCAAGGCAGGATAAGGCAGCCAAGCGGGAAGCAGCATCCTGAGAAGGAGCAGCAACGACACGTGTACTTAGACGAGTGGGGTTGAAAGTAATGGAGGCATCCACGGAATCAATGAGATGTCGATGAAGGGAGAAATCGTCAGGAGGCGCAGAATCAAGAGGGAGGAGATCAAAAAAATTGGCCCACGAAGCGGGACCAAACAAGGCTTGATAGGTAGCAGAACTGGAAGGAATCGAGCGAGGGCGGCCGTGACGAGGACGGCGGTGAGAACCCCCAGAGAGAGAGGGGTTAAAAGGCGCAGTAGTTACAACTAGAGAAGGAGCCGCGCCAGGGGACGAGGTAGTCACCACTGGGGGCTTGGGGCTCGACCCAACCACAGAGGAGGGAGGGGAGCCAGGGGAAGGAGTCAGAGAGGCCAAAGGAGGAGCAAGGTCGGGGCCCAAAGCAGCGGAGGCTACAGAGCCCGGTCTTCCAATACGGACCGACTCGGGGGCTTGGTCGCCCACCCCACGAGCCTGAGAAGGTAAGCCAGAAGCAGCCGAAACAGGGGTTATCATCTTGACGAAAAGAAGAATTCACTCACGAATGTGCCCCCACACCCACCATGGAGCCACAATTAGAGGCAGGACACCCAACAAGAAGCTATCGCCGATCTTGTCGGGGCCTCCTAGGGGTGCGTCTTGAGTATACGCCCCACAAACGCCACCTTAAGAAACCGACAGTCCGTCGAGATCGGGTTCAGTGACGAAGTGGGGATTGACAATAAAAGGTTCCCCTCGCTCTCGACGTCGGGTACTGCAGTTCTACGGGTGCATGAGTATGCCTCCTCAAGCACCCGGGCGTCAAAATAGAAGAAGTCCATGGAAGAACCAGAACGAGCAAAAGGTCGGCAGGAAACGGAAAGCAGATAGGAGAAGAGGGGGGAGAAAAACGAAACAGAAGGAAAAGGAAAAGGTGCCCAGCAGAATTGGAGAGGACGGCAGCAGGAGCACAAGGCTAGAAAAGGACAGAGGACTGTCCTAAGGAGCATCACACTCCGGCAGCCGCCCACGAAGCCCCCACACGGCGACAACGAGCTGAGCGGGGAGGGGGCGTTAAATTTAAGTGGTCAACAGACTGAACAGAGGCGATTAAAAATTTGAAATTGATCTTAGCTTCCGCCTCAGTGCTTGCTAGTCCAAGGTTTGACTGACCCTTTAAAATTCATGTCTGACTCGGGTGCTGGTGCAGTGTTGTTGCAAACTGGGGATGATCAAGTGTACCACCCAGTATACTATTACTCTGTGAAATTTGACAAGGTGCAACTTAATTATTCAGTGATAGAAAAAGAAGTGTTGGTGCTAGTGTTAACATGTAAAAAGTTTGAAGTATATCTAACCGGAAATATAGTGGAAGTGTACGTAAATGATTTTGGGTAGTAGAACCCCAAGCACAAATACCATAGTTGAGAAAAGGATAGAAGAGAGAGTAATAGAGTGTCACCAGGGCAGGGCGAGGTATATAATATCTGATCTTAGAAAGAATGCCAACAGTTTTTGACACTTTTTTGATATATTTAGAATGTGTCCCTAGAAATTCAGCTTGCGGTCAATGAGAATGCCAAGGAATTTGCCATCTACTTTGTTACAAATTTGGGTATTTTTAATCCTGAGATTTATTTGATTTGAGGATTTATTGCCAAACAAAATATAGAAAGTTTTGTCAATATTGAGGGTGAGTTTGTTGGCAGTTTGCCAGTGATGGACCTTATTTAGCTCAATATTCACTGTGACATTTAGAGCAAGGAGGTCAGGACTGGAGTAAATATACATGTTACATATATGAGCCCCATAAATTTTGAGCATAGCAATGTTCCATACTTTGAACTATATATATTCCACACTTTTGAATAATATTACAGCAAAGAAAACAGAGAAGAAACAAATGAGAAACATCAAAATAATTGTGAAAAATTATATTTGCAGCAAATGCTGCCCCGAAGGGGTGGCGAGGTCGAGTGATCCCGAGTGCTCCATCACTCAGCGCCCATAATTTGCTCAACTTCTCAGCTCCATCATGGTAAAAGTATGTCATATCCAATATTTTATTTTAGTTTCCCGTGATCAGAGACTGCATTTTAACAATATAAGAGACAATAATTTTTTGGAAATAATTTATTTTCGGGGCATCACGGGGGAGTCATATTTTAATGGAGCACAGCACGGTAGTTAAGAACAGTCAGTCCGTCAAGAACAAGTTCAGCAATGAAGACAGAATTTGACAGTAAAAGCATCCCCCCCTTGTTCGACAATGTCAGGTACAGTATTACTGTTCTATGGATGAGTATACTCACCTAGTACACTCGCACTGTGACTGCGGGGATTGAGCTCCGACTCTTTGGTCCCATCTCTCAACTGTCAGTGTGTGTGTGTGTGTGCCTCCCCAAACACCCGGCATCAAAACAAAGTATCGGAAAGAATATTCAATAATGGCAAAAAGTCAGTAAAAAGAGAACAATCAGAAAGGAGAGGTGGGAAGGAAAATGAAATATGATAAAGAAGAAAAAAGCCACTAGCAAAATTAATGAAGACAGCAGCAGGAGCATAAGGCTTCAAAAGGCCAGAGAACATGCTGTCATACTGAGCATCTTACTCCGACAGCTGCCCATCCCCTCATGACGGCAACAGGCTGGAAAGGGAGGGGGCATCTGACCCAAGTACGTACTCACCTTATTATGTTTGTGGTAATTTCCTGCAGTTAGCAGTTTTGCAAGTACTGTACTGTTTTTCCAGTGGCATAGTGGTGCTTGCAGTCAGGTCACAGCTGATAGGTCTTCGATTTAATTCTTGTGGCAGAATTTTAGCATTTGGGCAATATTTCCTTTTACCAGATGCCTCTGTTAACCTAGTATTAAACATGCCCCCAGGAGTTAGACAACTATTGTGGGTTGCATCCTGGGAAATGTCAGTAGTTGGCTCTCTGATTTAGAGAGATCTTTCCGTGCCTGACTTTGGGAAACCAACTATTGAAAATTTAGAAATTACTAAATTTTGCAATTACTATTTTGCAATTACTGTACTAAAATATTTCCCATCTAACACCTGCAACGTGAAGCATGTTCAAGTAGAAATATAGAACTCTCAGACGCCTCTCACTAACAGTAACATTGTGTACAGTAACAGACTAAATAATTACTTTACTAGCAGTTGCACAGGTCGTAAAGACTGCACAATATGCTTGGAAGACATTTGTGCTTGGTTTATTTAAGCTACAGTAAATGTACCATTGATTTATGGTACTCATATGGGGCTCATATATGTAACATTTATGGGGCTCATATATGTAACAATTTATGGGGCTCATATATGTAACATGTATATTTACTCCAGTCCTGACCTCCTTGCTCTAAATGTCACAGTGAATATTGAGCTAAATAAGGTCCATCACTGGCAAACTGCCAACAAACTCACCCTCAATATTGACAAAACTTTCTATATTTTGTTTGGCAATTGCCCGAAACGCATTGCGTAATAGTGGCTTTAGGCATTGTATGTACTAGCTCTATCTATATATCAATCCATTAATGTAACATCACTTGTATGTATATACCTTACCTGAATAAACATCTGAATCTGAATCTGATTAACTACTATGTAAATATAGTAATAAAGTAGTTTAGTAGTTAAAACACAAATATTTTCAACTTTTATTTTGCTAAAATATACAGCTTTTAATTTGGCATATCTTTGTAGAATAAGAAATCATAAAACATTTGCACAATTAAAATTTACAAGGCAGTGTTGGTAAGTATATAAATAATCAAGCCTTCAGTGTAATGAAATGTCCTCTCCTGATCATTTACCGTTACGTTACGTACCTCCGAGGAAAGTGCTGACCTCCTTAAGGTACCTCCCTAAGCAAACTTTAGGAAAATGCACCAAATGTCAGAGACCCACCTTTGCCTATAGGAAGTCAGGCCTAGAATATGGTTCTCTACAGAAAGCTGAAGTGCAACAAAACAAGCAACTGCTTGAAGAGAATTTGGCACCCGATGGTAATGAAGCCAGCGACAATTGCATAGACTCTTCCGTGATGCATCTGATCACCACCAGGTTGCTGTCTAGGTCACCTGAGGTCCCAGTCAGCCTACCTCCTTGCGCACGACCCACCCAGATCAAACCCTTCCACGCCACGTGAAAGATAGAAACAGGGCCAAAACAAGAAGCTACTCAGGGCCCCACCAGAAAAAGGGATTTTGTTACATTCAACACGATTATTGGGAAAGACCCCTCAATAGCTCCCTGAACTAACTCAACAATGTCTGGTTAGAAGCAGCCTGCATTTCTTAAAAAAAAATATTAGCTAACAGAAAAATGCAGCCAGGGATTATCCATGAGAAAATGACAGAAGGGTGCCTAGGCAGAAGAACTATACCTGTGAGCATCAAAGCAGTGAATTTTCAGGAAATCATGAGAAAAGATACACAGCAGACTGCGTGACGTGAACCACCCTATGGATAACCTAGAAGAGCTTGCTTTGGAACAGGGGACATGATACACAGGGTTGACAAACAAGGCATGAACTCAAAGAGCATAAACAGTGCACAAATAATGGCTCATTGCAGACACAGTACAGAGTATATGATACACCCTCAGCCAAAAAACATAAGTCTTATTCTTAGCCAAAAATGGTGAAGAAGAATGGAGGAGAAGAAAACCATTACCTAACTCAGACAATGCTTTAATGGAAGAGTGTGAGGCTTGACAACCTGCCAGCTGGAAGTCCCAGCCAGAAGAAAATCAGCCTTAACCACTGTGCTGCGCCAACCGAGAAAACTCGGTCGGTGGGAAATTGCATCAACCGAGAAAGCACCTTTTGCATATATCGTACCCATTCAAAATGCGTGTGTGGTAGGTTGTCTACAAAATGAACTCTTGAGACCTCTAGTGAGAGGCAGCCATCTTGGAAAAAAATTCCCATAATGCCCTAGGGCTGCTGGCTGGGTTAGTGCGAACTCATTTTTGTCGAGGGCTGTGTAGATTATATGAATCCGACTTATAATGGCATCATTGGTACTCTTTTGGGCACACAAGCCATACTGGCAGGGATTTAATATGTTGAGTTTCACAATGTAGGAATAGAGCCATTTGTAAATAATTTTTTCAAATATTTTTGAGAGTATAGGTAGACTTAATGTTGCTGTGTAATTGTTTACGTCAGCTGTCTCACCTCTTTTATGAACTGGCGTTACTCTTGCTTTTTTAAGAATATCAGGAAAAAGTGCAAACATTGGAAGATAATGACCGAATCACCACTGTTGAGATAATAAACTACTGCAGAGAAATCTAAATAACGACAGAGCAAAGCCCTGTTGAAGTTGAATGTGCTGAATTGCTATCCAAACAACTGCAAACTCCTGCAGCATATGTGCCCACTGTGGCCGAGGAGGCGTCCCGATTTTCATGGCGACAGCTGGGAGATGAAGAAACAGTAGAGGTTCGATGCATCAATGAACAGCTCAAGCAATGGAAATCACCATGGAACTGAACCCCAAAAAGCCAGAAAAGGAAAATGGCAATGCAAGATTCCCCCTAAGTGAAGCAGGGCATGTAATGCACAGTCCCAACCCCAGCAAAAGGATGCCAACCAAAGAAAGTGGCCAAGTTCCATGCAAGGCAAGTTGAGGCCTTCCACATGGTGTTTGAGGCTCTGACGGAAAAGTTGAGACCTCCCCACTACCAGTTGAAGAAAGTAGAGCAGCTGCTACAGTGGAAGAGGGAAGAAGGTACCTTACCTCACCTGGAGGTGCTTCCGGAGCTTAGCGTCCCTGCGGCCCGGCCTCACGTGTAAATCACAACCTGGTTGATCAGGTATCCTTCAGAGGTGCTTATCAAATTCTCTCTTGAACACTGTGAGGGGTCGGGCAGTTATGCCCCTTATGTGTAGTGGAAGCGTGTTGAACAGTCTCGGGCCTCTGATGTTGATAGAAACATGCAACTGGCATGTGATTGCACATGCAATCACAATCAAGCTCACAAGAACCCCTACCCATCCAGGAATCCAAGGAACATGGGCACTGTTCATGCAAGAAACTGAACCCAGGGTTTACCAATCACTTAAAATAACATGTTATGTGGTTGAAAATAGGAGCCTTCTGCTGCCAAAGCCTGAAAAACCTTCTCTGCAATCCAAACTAAACTATAATTAATGCCAAAGACAGATTGGGCTGTCTTTGACATTAATCATAGATGTGACGGATGCCACACCCCAGCAATGCAATAAAGGTCAACAGCAAAAAGGGCACAGTTGACTGCTGTCAAGGAAGAGCTCCAAGAAAGACCTGAAACATATGGAAAACTTCCTTCCTCTAAAGTGCCTGCATGCAAAAACAAAAAGGTTGCCTTGTATCCATGAAAAAAGGGCTTGTCTGCAAGTCTGTGCATGCCACACAAAAGTCTTGGAAATGCACCCATAGGCAAGGGAATAACAATAGTCCAACTCGTATTGAGTTGAGCGTAAATAAAAAATATGTCCAAAATCCAAATTAGTGTCATAATGTATCCAAATACTCCTTCAAGTAACCCCAAATTCCAGACAACCTCACCTGCCATAGAAGGACCAGGAACAACATTCACTCCCTTAAAAGTCCAGGAAGGTGAACTCTCGGCACATCGTAACAATACAAGGGAATGAAAGAGGTAAAAGTAGGCTCTGCAGCCTACACAGTCAGCAACCCACCCCCACCCGAAGACTCAAATGTGCCTTAAGTCTATGAACCACAGCACCTAATAAGCCCAACCATAAACACCTTATGGGAGATGGCATAGATAGAGCAATCGGTTGCAGGATCCAAAGACACTAAGTAAGAATGCAAAGCCCAACATGTACAAAGAATAGGGCCATGCCCAAATGCAATATGTTTAGTAGACGCAGTTAACAACTCTCATCTACAGATCTCGCAATGAAGAGCAAAATCCTGTAATCTACCCAGAAATGAGGTGACTCTAGAAGAGTCAGCTTGTAGAGAGAACCTGAACCTCTCGGAACAGACATCTCTGGTAGGGCATGGAAAACACATGCCAACTGTTATGATCCTTGTCTCCTGTGGAGAGATTTTCATGGAGACAAGCGTTGTAACAAGTTAGCTAAAAGGCAAAGTTATGTAAAAGCAGTAAAGAGTACTTTTCCTGAAAGAAACTTATAGCTGGCAGCTTGGAGGTCGTGTGTTGCTGATATTACTCCGCCAAAGAAACTAGAACCCAGAGCTGGAGATTTATTGTGAACGATGTATATATTGTTTGGAAATATTTTGTGAAGGAAAAATGAACTCATTTATATAACCTACGAAGGAAGTATGGTTAAATGAGTCATTATAGTTTGATTAGGAATGTGGAGAGATAGAGTATCAAGGGGCGAGTGATGTGGCCAGACAAGTAGACGCCATCTTACCATCATCGGAGGAGCGTCAGTGTGGGCTGATCATTGACTTTTGAGGATTAACTCCTACCAGATATCCAGAGAAGCCTTATATTGTAGTTATTCAGGTTGCATGAGTTTGTAAACTGAGGTTCTACTTAGTTGGTTACTTAGAGAGAGTCCAGATTTCCTAGTTCATATATATATCTGTGTCGGACAAATACGCTATCAGGTGTGGTTGGTGTATAAAATTAAAATTGTTGGACCAGGGTATTAAGTGTTACCATATTGCTGGAGTACTTTGTGTAAGATGAATCATATTGGTGTGTAACTATTAATGAGAATGTCATTAAGTTTAGAGGAATTTCTTAATGAATATTTTATATTGTATATGTTTTATTTTGTAGATATATTTTTGGTTTGTTACACTACTCAGACGTTTCTCTACTACTGTTGCAAAGTTCCTTGGCAAAACTAGAAGGTTACCATCCATCATATTCCCTAGACAACTAAGTAAAGAATAAGTACAGGACCAGGGCAGTAGCCTAGGGATACAGCCAAACTTGAGATTGAATAATAAGGACCAAACCGTGCAATAGAATAAATATCAGTAATTTATAAAAGGCTGTGACATAGTAATGGGCACCAGACCATCACCAGTTAAGTGAAATATGGAACAGCAGCCTGTGACATCAACTACCAAGTAAGGGAAGGAATGAACTGTCAGGGGAAAGCGCCAAGCCATTACGACTATATAGCACTGGGAAGGGATCAGGATAAGGATTTGGGATGGGACGGGGAAAGGAATGGTGCCCAACCACTTGGATGGTCGGGGATACAAAATACAAAATTAGGGCAGAGCAATGTGGGTGACATGTACAATTTTGAAAGAGAAAGGATAAAGATCAGAAAGCAAAATCCCCCAGCAGAACTGTTCCAGGGATATCAGAAGATGGATGTTGTAACCAGGTGAGCGAGTGAATAGCAGGCTGACTGTGACTCTGGGTGACCTGAGCTGCCACCTGGTGGCAGTTTGGCTCATTCTGGTCCTGGCTCCCGGCATGCAAGGGTTGGTCTGAGGGCTCGTACATCTCTAAGACTAGGCTGGACCAGCACTTAACTCTGGAAGCTACTGACATTCCCACAAGAGAAAAGTATTAAAGATTTTATTTAAGCAAAGTCTTCCCCATAAAAAGTCTTGCAAGTCTGTAAGAATATGCAAGATCCCCAAATTTCTAGCATTATTATACACTGCATATACATGAAAATATATGAACATCCCATGCCTTTTATAACCTTGTTTGAGGTACATCAGGTTCTGGCCCAAGCCATTTTTCTCCTATCTCTTGGGCTAAGACAGGAAACCTGTCCGAGCCAAAGAAGAGCATTGGCTCCCCTCCAGTATGGGCAACTATAGCAGGTAATCCAAATGCCTGAAAGACAGAAATAATCTTATTACAGTTAATAAAGAAATTGTTATATAATATGGTAAAGATATTTTTCTTCGTATTCAACACGGCAGATTAAAGCTCAATTCTTAAGAATTGGTAGGATATTAAATATGCCTATTTAAAGTCTTGTAAAAGGTAGTTATTATAATGAATTGCTGCATGACATTATAAATCTTGGGTATTATTAGTTGGCAAGAGAGAGAGAATATTCTTGAGAGAATAGTTAAAAAAAAAAAAACACAGCATTGAATGTAATGAAACGTCATTTTCTGGGTGAGCCCAGAAATAGGGCGTCTAATAGTTCCAAGGAGCCTCTGGCTAACTGGAGCTATCAGAATGATATATGCTATATTAGTCTGGGGGCATCAGTCAGTTGGAGTTCAGCCTATGGGGACCACGAGCCAGAACTTAGCCCCCTCAGAGAGGCAAAGGAAGCAATTGCCTATGGAAACTTCCATGTATTTGGGGGCATTCCATGTCTGCCATCATCCAGGGTTAGGCACCCAGAAAGGTAGGCATAACAAAACAGACCCCACATCCAGCACTTCTACTAACACTATAAAATCATTTATATTTGCCAACATCCAGTGTATAAAAACGCGCAAATCCAACAAAGTTCATTTTATAGATGACCTCCATGAGGCAAATGCAGTGTTTGCAGCCCTAACGGAAACTCACACAAAGGACTACCATGAGGGTGAAATATGGATCTCAGAGTACAATCTTTTCAGATGTGACAGGAAACACCGGATACAGGGTGGGGTCAATCTCTACGTCAAAGACATGCACTCATCTGTACTGAGCTGCTAAACACCTCAAATTATATGGTGGAAGTGCTGATAATGAAAATAGAGATCCTAAATGTAGTTATTGTCCTTGTGGATAAGTCACCAGTCAGCAGTTTAAAGAGCAACTAATGAGAACACTGCTTGGAAAATCTTACAAATCCAGCGAACATCATCCTGCTTGGGGACTTCAACCTACGGCACCTGAAATGGAAGCACCTGGCTAATACAGTAATATCAGAAAGAATACCAGGAAGTAGCCTAAATGAACAGGCACATGCAAATGACCTGCTACGGATGTCCGACAGGTTTGCCTTAAACCAGCAAATAGTAGAACCAACTAGGAAGGAGAACACGCTGGACCTCATTTTCACTAATAATGATGAGTTGATCAGGAACATAATGATTACAAATACCTGTTACTCAGATCACAACTTAATTGAAGTTCTGACAAGCATGGGGAATAGACCTTCAAAACCAGTCCCGATTCCCTGTGGAGGAGATTTCAGCAAATTCAACTTCAATAATAAACAGATAAACTTGGAGCAAATAAACCAGGACGTCACAGAAATAAACTGGGAAGAACAGCTAGAAAATGCAAACCTGAACCAGTGCCTGGAAAAAATAAGCTCAGTAGCACTAGAAATATGTTCAAACTGCATACCCCTAAGAAAAAAAGAGGAAGAGATGCAGATTGGAACGGGAACGTCGTTCCCTCTATAGGCGAAGAAAACGAATCTCGGAACAACTTGAGAGTCACACTCTGTCTCAAGAACGGCGAAGAAGGTTAGGTAGAGAAATAAAAACAATTTAATTCAAGCTACAAGAATCAGACAAAACCAAGGAGAGGCAAAGAGAGCAAAAGGCCATCAGTGAAATAGAGAGAAATCCGAAATATTTTCTCCTATGCAAAATCAAGATAAAAAAACACATCTAGTATCGGGCCCCTGCGAAAGGGATATGGAACTTTCACCGATGACAACAAAGAAATGAGCAAGTTACTGAGGAAGTAGTACGACTCTGTTTTCAGCGAGCCACTAAACACACTAAAGATTGATAACTCAAATAAATTTTTCATGGATATGATACCAACATCAAATCATATCAGACGTCGCCCTATCCCCACTGGATTTTGAAGAAGCCATAAACAGTATGCCTATGCGCTCTGCTCCAGGCTCGGATTCATGAAACTCCATATTCATCAAGAACTGTAAAAAACCACTATCGCAGGCCCTTCACATTCTGTGGAGACAAAGCCTAGATACTGGCGTTATCCCTGACATACTAAAAGCAGCAGAGATAGCACCACTCCATAAAGGAGGAAATAAGGCAGAGGCAAAAAATTACAGACCGATGGCACTAACATCGCACATCATAAAAATCTTTGAGAGAGTACTAATAAGTAAGATCACAAAATACACGGAATCACAGCATCTCCATAACCCCGGACAACATGGTTTCAGAACAGGGCGCTCTTGCCTGTCACAGTTGCTGGACCACTATGACATGGCATTAGATACCATGGAAGACAAACAAAATGCTGATGTAATTTACACAGATTTCGTAAAAGCCTTTGACAAATGTGACCATGGTGTTATTGCACATAAAATGCGTTTAAAACGAATTACGGGAAAAATAGGCAGATGATCTACAATTTCCTGAGTAACAGAACCCAATGTGTAATAGTCAACAAAATAAAATCTAGCCTATCAACCGTGAAGAGCTCAGTTCCCCAGAGTACTGTGCTTGCTTCAGTACTTTTTCTCATTCTCATATCGGACATAGACAAGGACACAATCTATAGCACTGTATCATCCTTTGCAGATGACACTAAGATTTTCATGAGAGTAGGCAACATAGAGGACACGGCAAACCTCCAATCAGATGTAGATCAGGTCTTTCTATGGGCTACAGAAAATAATATGGTGTTTAACGAAGATAAGTTCCAGCTCATGCGCTACGGAAAAAATTAATATAAAAACGGAAACCACGTACTGTACAAAACTCAGGCAAATCATAACATAGAACGAAAAGGCAATGTAAAGGATCTGGGTGTACTCATGTCGGAAGACTTTACCTTTAAAGAACACAATAAAGTAGCCGTCACAACTGCAAGAAAAATGGCAGGTTGGATAACAAGAACTTTTCACACTAGAGATGCTATACCGATGATACTTTTCAAAACGCTAGTGCTCTCTAGAGTGGAGTATTGCTGCACAACGACAGCCCCTTTCAAAGCTGGAGAAATTGCTGACCTGGAGAGCGTGCAGAGATCATTTACTGCTAGAATCCACTCAGTAAAACATCTAAACTACTGGGACTGACTAAAGAGCCTAAATCTGTATTCCCTTGAGCGCAGGCGGGAGAGATACATAATAATTTACACGTTGAAAATAATAGAGGGGCTGGTCCCAAACCTGCACACAGAAATAACATCACATGAGACCAGGAGGCATGGCAGAATGTGCAGAATACCCCCTGTTGAAAAGCAGAGGTGCAACAGGTACTCAGAGAGAACTATCAACATCTGAGGGCCGAGACTGTTCAACACGCTTCCACTACACATAAGGGGCATAACTGGCCCCTTATGTGTAGTGGAAGCGTGTTGGTCAACTGGTCTCTCTTGAACAGTTATAACATAACTGTTCAAGAGAGAACTGGATAAGCACTTCCAAAGGATACCTGATCAACCAGGCTGTGATTCATACGTCAGGCTGCGAGCAGCCGCGTCCAACAGCCTGGTTGATCAGTCCAGCAACCAGGAGGCCTGGTCGACGACCGGGCCGCGGGGAAGCACCTCAAGGTAACCTCAAGGTATGGTAAGAAAATTGCTACCGAAGACCGAACAGAGAGGGAGAACTCTCTCAAATCTAAAGAAACAAGCAAACAATCAAACGTCATACACCGCAGCCGTGCCACTTGTCCCCCCCTCCACTTCCCAGGAGGGCGGAGCCCCGGACCCCCATGCACCGGCTACTCACACCTCCAGTTCAGAGGCCGAGTATCAAAACAAAACGAATCCGCCAACTGGAGGGATGAAGGGTGCCAGGGAGCCTTCGAGCTCACCCAGAAAAATGGTGTTTCATTACATTCAACGCTGGTTTTCTGTGGGGAGCCCCTTCGGCTCCCTGGAGCTACGATACCAAAGACAAGTAAAAGAAGGACTTACCCAGGAGGCAGCTGCCACACGCTCATCAACTCAAAGTCGAGACAACTGGCTCCAACCTGCGACCCAAAGCCACATAAGAACGACCGAGACCAGGAACATTTACCAAATAACAGGTGGCCAGAACCCTGTTCGACTTAAAAAAAAATCCCCGTGCTCGAATGTGAGCTCAAGACATGTTGCCAAAAACGGCAGCCAAAGCAGCAAACCTGAGAACGTCATAGGCACGAGAATAGACCGCAGGCTGGCTAGACTTAATAACCCTGTGGACGACCTGGGAGACCCTAGCCCTGGAACAGGGAATGAGGGGAAGCGGATCAACCCAGAGCATATCCCCGGCCACAAAAGCCGAGGCATGCAGATAACGGTGAAGTGCCGCAACCGAACACAACACATGGTGCACCCCCAGCCTGACGAACCAAGCATCAATGACCCAAGGGCCCCTCTGGAAAGCCGCCATCTCATTCCTCGCCAGAAAAGAAGGAGACAGCTGCAACCGAACAAACCGACCACCAGGACCTAAAGAGCAGAAACCTCTGCACCAGAGGAGAGCACAAAGCTTACCAACTCTACCCCCACAGGCCAATGCTAACAGAAACAGCGCCTTGGCAAAACAATCTTGAACCGAAGGGGGCCACTACAAACCGAGGAGAAGAAAGAAAAGAGAGCACCCAGTCAAAGGACCAGGACGGCCCAGGCAGCACATGAGCCGGCCCGGAGGTGAAACAAAACACGAGAAAGGTTACAGAATGGGCAGAAGTGACATCCACCCCGAACGCAAGCTAAAGAGCCTCCGCCAGTGCCTCACAATAAGAGGCGTTAAATAAGAATAATAGGAAATCACAATAGGAAACAATATTAGGCATCAAATGACAGTCCTGAAACAGCCAAGAAAGGAGGACAAAACAACCCGACCAGAAATAGAAGACAACCTACAAAGAGAGAGGAAATGGCAAATAGAATGTGAGGAAACTTCATACTGTCGCCGAGACGAAGCTTGCAGGTGGGACAGCATGAAAGAAGCCACCTGA